TCTTTGAGAGGGATTCCCACAACCAGAATCTGAATAAGCTTCTTTTCCATCTTATTTATTTTGATATTTGGTGACACAACTTCATAACATGTTTTCTGCGAAGAGCAACTGGGAACAAAACTGCTGCATGCCATAAATGCAGATGCTGGTTTTGATTTGAGCTAATGGACCCGGTTTATTCAACTAATGTGAAATGTTATGGTCCTTTGTTAAAATGGAGACCTATACCACTCCTGGACATTGTTAACGTTGTAGTCCGTTCTGTATGAATTTCCAGACTTAAAAGGATGAGGACCATCAGGGTGGCTCTGGAAGAGTAGAACAGTGTACGGATATAAAATATTTCTGACGTTCCCGTTCGGTTCGCGTGTAAATGATGTGTAGATATCTGTGGTTATCCACTTCGTAAGAGCTTTTTTTCTTTTTTTTCCTTCATTTGATAATAAGAGATAGCATGAAAATAAAAAGGCATTAAAATAAAAAGCCAAAGCCAAAGCAAAGCCCTGGGCTAGCCGACCCCTGCAGCATCAGCTAAACATACAAGTTCAACATCTGCAGGACAATTATACAGGATATAACAAAAGTAGGAGAGTGAGCACCTTTCTTGGCCAATTATATCAGCAGCCATATTACTCTCCATGAAAACATGCCTCAGACAAACCGGGGGAATCAAGTTCACAAGAGCCCTGCAATACATAATGAGAGTGCTATGAGGGTGATGGAGATTTGAAGTAGTATAATGTAATTGATAAGCCACACAACAATCAGTTTCAACAATAATAGAATTAAAGTGCAAATTGATAGTAGTCTGAAGTCCATCTTTTATAGCCCATAATTCTGCAGCTAAGGCAATAGTATACCCCAACGTTACGAACATATCCAAGGACCTACATGCCTTGCGAGTCGCGAACAAACCTCCACAACTACTCATACCCGGATTGTCAATCATAGAGCCCTCTGTATTGATGCAATTAACACATGTAGGGCTTTCCGATAATGGGCCTTTCAAAGGTGTTCGCTTTTGTAAACCTTGGTCAAGAACCGAAAAAACCTTCTTATATTACCAAGTAAGCCTATGTTTACATAAAAAT